ATATAAAAAATACAGATTCCAGGGCTAGGGGGTTGCATAGCTCAGTAGTAGAGCCCTTGCCAAGCATGCAACATCCCCAGACCACAAACAAAGGGAAAAAGAAAAATGCAGGGGCTGGGGATGTGGCTCAAGTGGTAGTGCGCTAGCCTGGCATGCGTGCGGCCCAGGTTCGATCCTCAGCACCAAATACAAACACAGATGTTGTGTCTGCCAAAAAAAACTAAAAAATAAATATTAAAAAATTCTCTCTCTCTCTCTCTCTCTCTCTCTCTCTCTCTCTCTCTCTCTTTAAAAAAAAAAATGCAGATTCTGGAGGATACATCCTGACCAGGTGCAGTGGCACACATCTGTAATCCCAGTGGCTTGGAAGACTGAGGCAGGAGATCTCAAGTTCAAAGCCAGCCTCAGTAAAAGTGAGGTGCTAAGCAAGTCAATGAGACCCTGTCTCTAAATAAAATACAAAATATGGCTGGGGATTTGGCTCAGTGATTGAGTGCCCCTGAGTTCAATCCCCAGTACCAAAAAAACAAAAAACAAAAAAAACTGGAATGTACCTCCTGAAGATTCTGATTCTACGTATCTGTGGACTATGCCTTTATGACAGCAGCAGAAAGTATCCCATAACTTTGAGAACCAGATCTCCAGGAGCTGTGAAATGTCACCTCTCCTTGTCCCGCCCCTCACCTGAAGAGGTAGGGGCCAGCCCACAGAGATTAAATGACTTCCTTGCAGCTGGTCCCCAGGCCCAGAGCAGGGCTGGAATCAGAATCATGCCAGCTGGCCCAGCATTCTCTCCACCACATTCCAGCAGAGAAAAAATTGAAGTCTCTTAGAGGACTTTGTTCTTCCCCTCATTTTTTCAGTTCTTCAAGCAGCCAAACTCCCCTGGAGCGTCAAACAATATGTTCAAGGCCAGCACGGAAAAATCACACCACTAATTCAAAAAGTCTTCGTGCTTTGTGCCCACGTACTGCCAAAATTGGAAGCAGTGAAAATCGTTTAAATATTACTTTTCTTTAATTGTGAGAATATCAGCGTGTGAAAATTGCCATGTGTAACCTTAAGAGTTGTTACAGTTTTCTAAAAAGCAAACTTGCCTTTCCAAACGCCATTCAGGAAGGATCACTTCTCTCTTTACACATCTCCATTAAAGCCCCCAGCACACGATTAGACCTCTATAATATCTAAATGCAGTTGGGAACTGATTCTTAAGGTTGGGTGTCAGTGCAAGTCTTATAATTCCAAGGGATTTTATTGCAGCTAAATTTACTGTTAAGCTGCCTTTCTCTGAGTGATTACCCTAGAGACTGGGGTTTTCTCTCTGTATTTACCCAGTTTGCATTGAAACATCTAGATTGTTGGCCTAATGCCAAGGTTGAGCAAACAATTGTTCCCCTGTTTGCGGGCCTACTTATTTATTTCTGCTTGCTCCCTACAAGAATCTGTCATATCAAGTCCCTTAAAGAGATACCCAAATACAGTTGCACTCAGAAGTTTGGGGTAGCTCCACTAAGTCATTGCCAGTTTCAATGTGGGTGTTGGCACATACTTTCCAAAAATCTTAATATGCAAATGAGTTGATAGTGTGTGTGTATTTTAATGACAATATTCTGGTATAGCTTTTCTGTAGCAGTAGTAGTTTCTTTTGCCACACAACTCTTCATAGACGGATTAGTGAACTTTCTCAATGCGCATAGTATATTGGATTGCTGAGATAGAAACTCCAGATCTGAGCAAAACAATGTATATACGATTGGTGGGTGGGGGAGGCTGTTCTCCAAAAATCCAATAATTGGGTTGAAATGCCTGACAAAGGGCCATGAAGAACCAGGAACAACGTGGGACTTTAAAATTAGGTCTTTTGAATTAAAGATGATACTCGAAATGCCACCCACTTCTTACAATCTGGTGCTTTCTTTTCTTTTTGCAGAATCTACCATGCCCCAGGTACAAAGATGTCTCTGATGCAAAACAGATGAGCACACAGTGAGGTTTTTTTGTTCACGCTCCACAGTATCCTGTTGAACAGGGTGCTCCAGTCAGGCCTTGGAGGGTTTGATCAGCCAAATGAAGCCACTTAAAATGTCTTACAGGCCTGAGAGTTCTGCTACTTCATGAGCTACCTCCCGCCTCATCCCCATTGTGGCTGCTGTTCCCTGGGATATGTTCTTCTCCTACCCTATCTGGAAGTTCCACAACTCTTTCAAGTCATTTGGGTCCTATGTAGTTATTTGATATCCTTATCAATTTATCATTTAAAACAAAGAATCAGCAAATATTCTTCAGAAAATGCTAGACAATAAATATTTCAAGTTTTGCAGGCCATGTCACAACTACTGAACTCTGCCCGTGGTAACACAAAAGCAACCATAAGTAACTCAGAGGGTCAGTGTTTCAATAACACTTTCTATATAAACACTGAGATTTGAATTTCATGTACTTTTTTACAAATCACTAAATATTATTTTCCATTTGAGTTTTTTTCAATCATTTGAAAACATAAAATCCATTCTTAGGCCATATATCATACAAAAACAGACAGTGGGCCCGATTCAGCCATGGGTCATTGTTTCCTAACCCTTGCTTTAAACCAATAAAGGACTGACAATGTAGAAATGCCGTCCTAGCCAACAGCTTCCCTCGTTGACATCTTAGCAAGCACTCAAGATGTCACCTATGACTGTACTCATTGGACAGTTGGGACTATTTAGGAATGAGAATCAGCACACAATTTTTCTATTCACAAAAAGAAGGCTATAAACTCAGTGATTTGAGATTGGAATCAGAATTGAGTTCTCTGTGTGAATTTCCACTTCTTAGAAAAGTTGAGTCCGAATGAAAGTTGAAAATTTTTCGTGTGGAATTTGAAATCCCTGGTCCACATCTGACTGACCCTGCCCTGACATATGGAGACACTGAGAGTTCAGGGACAGGTCTCCACTGTCCAGTTGACTTTCCTTCCTACGTAGTTACCTTCCCACCAGAGTAGAAGGAAAGGGGGAAATTGTCCCCAGAGCTTGGGTAATGGCAAGTAAGGTTTTCCTTTCCTCCTTTGCCCTGACTTACAGAGATCCCTTCTCTACCAGGGAAGAGGGAACAGAAGGTGACAGAGCATCTAGGCTTCTAGTTGCAACTTTCTGTGTAGAGGTCCTCCCAGACTGAAAACACCTCGATCATATGAGGCCAGTTTTCTTTTCCTCTGCACCCAGCTATAACAGACTTAATCTTATTTCCTCCTCACTTCATTCTCCTTCCTTCCATCTTTGTTCTTCCTTTGTCTTTTGATGTAGTGATTTAATATTCATAGATGGTCAACATACACTCTTGCTACGCAGGGTATTGTTATATTTATTATCTTTGCTTTCAATATGATTGATTTAATTGTAACTTTACAGAATTTAATTTAAATAATGGCTGTGTTTAACACTTGGGTCTAAATATTCCTGATAATTGGCTCTTGTGAGAGAGAACTAGCTGGCCCTACCACACTCTTAGAAAAAGATATTTTCACAACTTTGGGTTGTAGTCCTAGGATGCTCCAAAAGACACCTGTAAAACACATTTTAGTACCACCCCTTTTTCATAGATGGCCTTAAAAGAAAAAAAAACTGTGCAGTATTTCACTCAAATACCTATTAAACTTCTCCAAGAACATTTTTATAGGTGTCCTTTGCACTGAGTTTTTCTAGCTAAGAAATTTCCAGTTTCGAGTTGGGGCATTTAATCTGAATTATTGCACCCACGAGGCAATGCTGTCAGAGATGTTCCCCAAACACCATTTTAGCCTCGGTTCAGATCTTCATTCACGCACTTTCAATGTCTGTGGCTCCATAATTGCAGTACTTTGACAAGAGTTTCATTTCCTGTTCCTGGATTTTAAAAAAAGGAAATTGACAGGCAGCATCATTAGAACAGGGAGAGGGAGAAAGGAATGAGTGTAAGTGCTAGGAAGTGTATAACCAGTTCCTTAGGACAGAACTGACCACTAGTTTCCTTGGGAGAATCCAGGATTTTTACTCTTCCAAGAATCCTTAGTTGTGTTTTCCTGTTGTTTGGACCCAGGGAGGACTGAGTCAGGCCACCTGGTTCAACCACAACTGGCTGCCTCCCGGACTCTAGAAAGTTACCCAGCTTCTCTGGCTTAAATTTGCAAAACGAAAGGTTGGGAGATCTCTAAGATCCCCTTCAGTTCCTTTTTAATCATCTCTAATATATAATTAAGTAGGATAAAAATTAAAAAGTCAGGAAAGACAAACTTGCTGCTCCTTGGAGCAGTCGTCCTAGCAGACCTCTCTTGGTGGATCTCACAGTCTTGGTTCTCTGTCAGATACCCACACCCGTGCTCTTTCCTTACAGCTCATAAAATGCACCTCCCATTAAAATGACTTGCATGACCCTTGTGGAATCTGATGAACTGTTTAAGGTCCCAACGTCTGGTTTCCTTCAGTGTGTGGCTTTCTGTTTGTGTGAACAGCCCTCTGTGAGGTCACATTATGACACTGCCTTCTGGGGCTGTCCCGGCCACCTGCACAAAGGAGGGGTCTGCACCGACTGGCCATCTGCGTCGCCTTCCACACAGTCGCCTTCTACACCACCCCCACAGCGTCGCAAAGCAGCTGAGTGTGGACCAGGCACGGGGTGGGCGTGTCCCACGGTGCTTTACAAAGAAAATCAATAAAAGGTCCTTGCAGGATGCTGAGACTCCAGTACCTGGTAAACTGGGCCAGGCAGCGGACCCTGCCTTTCCCTGACCCTGGAGGGAGCTGCGATTTGCATCCTAGTTGGAATTTAGACGCCTCCAACCTCGAGTTCTCCGTTACAGAGCCCCATAGCAGCCCAGTCCCAGGTCCTCCTGACGCAGTTTATTGTGGCAACAGTTCCCGGCAACTGCCCAGACACCGAGTGTCTCCTGCCCGAGCTTGAAGGGCGGGAGGTGGCGCGGCGCGAGCGCTGGAGGACGCGCGGCGAGGGGCGGCGAGGGGCGGCGGAGCTCGGGCAGCATGGGCTGCAGCGCGTCCCAGCCCGCCGAGGACCAGAGACGCGTGCCCGCGCCCAGGAAGGGATGGGAAGAGGGAGTCCAGGTAAAAGAAAAAAAAAAAGTAATAAAATGAATCAGACAGACCTAGAGCCTTTGCTCCGGAAGCCTCGCGATTCTCAAGCTTGGGGACAGCTGGAATGGGCTGGACCAAAGTTCCCAGGCCGCCTCGTGATGGAGAATAGGGTGAATGAGGCGGGACAGCCCTGTTCTGCCAGTGCTTAGCTGCTGCCTTAACCAGGCAGGGCGTGGGACCAGTTTGGGGAGGTTTTGGTGTTTAAAGGCCCAGGGCAAAGGGGAAGTTGGAATGATCCCTGTGGTCTGCCAGAGCTGGGCGGGACTGTGACTGGAGGTGACATGGGGAAGGTGGGAGTCCCTGGAGCTGCCAGGTACGGTTGGCTTCTGGAAAATGGGCTCTTTGGAAGTCACTTGGAATGGGAGGGGCTCTCAGGAACCACCTGGCTGCATCCTCTAGCTTCATAGCTAAGGGGGACCCTGGGGTCCAGAGAAGTGGAAGACTTGCCTGAAGCTGCACAGCTTGTTTGGGGTAGAATCTAGTCTCATTCCAATCCCTCAAAGTTGCATCCCTGTTATCCTTGTGAGGGGAGGGGAGGTATTGGAGATGGAACCCAGGGTGTCTCCATGCCTTCTATGTCACAGGTGCTGTAACTGGCACCCCACAGTGTCCCACATAACCTGCTGGGACAAAGCCTGGGCTCTTTAAACAGCACTCTGCAAAGGCCTTTTAGGAAGGGTGGCTATAACTCTGGCTGTGCTGGGCTGGGCTTCAGCCAGACTGGCTGGGAAATATATCAGGAGAACTCCCTTTCACTCTGAAAGTCAGATTCTGATGGAAAATTAAATTAAACTCCTCTGGAATGGACCCTTGAGGGTTCCTAGTTCTGTCTATGGAATCTGGAGGGCAAAAAGGATGGGAAGAAATTTTGGACCTAATTTTGGTCACAACCAACCCATCCCCTCCATGACCTATTCTGGGGGAAAAAATACCCTTAATGCCTCCAGAGGAATTACCCCGGATTGGGGCTGGGAGTGTAGCTCAGTGGTAGAGCACCTGCCCATGGAGACACCCTGGGTTCCATCTCCAATACCTCCCCTCCCCTCACAAGGATAACAGGGATGCACTGAAAATAACTTTGTTGAATAGATCAGGAGGGAGTAAAAAGAAGTTCCCTCCATGTGTCAAATATATCAGGTCCTTTAGGTCAAGCTACCCCAAGCCTGCAAGGTTTCCTACGTAGCTTCTTGAATTTCACAGTTAAGTCATCGCCTGCTTGGATACTTTTTCCATTTCCACCATCATCTGCCTTCTGCTTTAATCTTCCACATGACCTCCAGAATGACCTCTATATAATAAAATTGGATATGTCAGTCCTCTACAGAAAAATGTCACCATTCCATTAAGTGAGCACACAAACCAATGGTCAAGACGACAACCAGGGTTTGATTTTTGTGTTCATTTCTATTAGTTGTGTGACCTTGGTCAAGGTCTTAACCTCTCTGCCCCAGTGTTATCTGGGGAATGAGGGTAATCACAATACTTACTTCACAGAGTTGTTATAAGGATTAAATAAGACAATTCACATGAAAGTGCTCATATGCCTGCCACAGACTAAAACTCAATGTAAGTTATTATAATGATGGCGATGGTTGTAAGATAAAACCCTACATCCTTGGCATAACCTTGAACTGACTGCTGACTCTGGGTTTGCTCTCTCCCCATGTGCATATTCTGCGCAGGCCTCGCTTCTTGTTCCCCACACCCATCTGCCCCTAGTTCCATGACCTTGCACCTGCTGCTTTCTCTCCTTCAGGTTCTTCCCCTTCTCCAAGGCCACTGGTCAAATTGTGCATATCTTTTAAGACAACTTACGGTCACTCCTCCCCGTGCTCATCTGGCCAACCCCTGACCCTGCCACCATGCTGCCAGGTTGATCTTCTACCTCCTCCTATCAAATGGCAATGCATTTTATCATATTTGTTTCCATTTTTGCCTCCCATCCTGAGCTGTCACCTCCTTGGGTACAGGAACTGTTTTTATCTTTGTATCTCTGGTGCTAACTGCAGTGTCTCATGCAGACCTAGCACTAATGCATTTTTCTTGAGTGACTGAATGTCCTCCCCACGCACCCAAGTCCCCAGATTCCTTAGTGTGTCCTTGTCTCCATGTAGCATAACCAGACTAATGACAGTCTGCAAGGAAAAAAATTCAATATTATAATAACCTGAAAATAGACTGAGAGTCTACTCACGCATATACCTTCTCTTTATGTGTGTGCCCAAAACACTTGACTTTGGAAATCTGATCTGGGAAGGGTATGATTATTATTAATTAGACACTCTAGAGCTGTCTGAATAGTAATGCCTCTACTATGCATAAAGGCAGAGGATTCAGAGTTCAGTAGTTCAGAAATGTCTTCAAAATGAGATGAAAGTATTTGCTGGAATGAAATATTTGTTTCTTAGTGGCATGACTTTAAAATATTCTGAATTAAATGTTTTGAGAACTGTCTACAGACTTTCTCTTCCCTTTTGCCTTAAAGTGGCAAGAAGACACCATAATAAAATAATTCATAAGAAAAGCCTGGGAAACTTCTTAGTTGGAGAAATGCTTACTTGGAGTTATTCTACATGAATAACTTAGTTTCTTGCCTGTTACAAACAGGGAATGGTTAGCTTGCAGTGAGTGATCGCCAAGGGTCCTTCACAGCCTCCCTCCAACATCTGATTTTTAAAAATACCCTTGCTTATTGTTTCTGAAAAGGCCTAAGTGGCTACTTAAAGCTCAACTTTTTAAATAATAAGATTTGGAGAGATATTATTGTGATTTTTCTAGAAGTAACTAGAAAAAATCATATTTTTGAAGAACAAATTCTTCCTCTATGTCTACAAATATATTTATAAAATATATCTGCTAATAATTTAAGAAGATTTCAGCTCTGGGGAGCCTCAACAAATTAGTTCCTCCAAACTGTTTGGCAAACATGTTTCCCCAAAGCTGTATGACACATATAACACTTCTCAGCCAAAACAAACAAAAAAACACATCTAGAGTTAAAAGCAATTTTTTTTAAAATTCTGGTAATTCTCATGCATAGAGATCACCTTAGAATTCACAATTTTTAAAATTCTGTCTAAAACTGATAAAATTTTATCCTCAAGGAACTGAAGTATAAAATAAAATTGATACAAAATTATAGCTGGGTGTGGTGGCATTACTATTCAGACAGCTCTAGAGTGTCTAAAATCCTGTAATCCCAGCAACTCCAGAGGCTGAAGCAGGAGGATTTCAAATTCAAAGCCAGCCTCAGCAACTTAATGAGGCCCTAAGTAACTCTGTGAGACCCTGTCTCTAAATATAATATAAAAAAGGACTGGAGATGTTGCTCAGTGGTTAATACCCTTGGGTTCAATCCCTGGTACAAAAAAAAAGTTTTAAAAATTATCAAAATGTAAAAATGCATTTAATCTGTACTTCTCTTACTTCATCTCAAGGAAAAGATAAAACCTTCCAGCCAACTCTTCCAGTTACTATTTCTTATATAATATAGAAGGTTTTCTTATTGGAGTGAAAATTTAAACTCTTCATGCATAGATGGAACAAGAACACTACTAGCCATATCCACAAGAGGCACAGATTTAATTAACTTGTCAGTATCTCTGGTCTTTGAATTGTGTCTGTTTTCAAGTCCAGATTATAGAATTGGGTTAAAATCCTCAGAATATGTCACACATTGATAAGTTATTTGAAAGATGTTCTTAGTTTTCAAAAAAGAAGAACTTTACATTTCTACTGTGGAAACTAAAGGCTTGTATGAATTATTTGATGCTTAAAGATTGTGTTTTGTCTGCTACAGCCTAAGTGTTGGTCAGTAACAGCACTCCGGTGCAGAGTGTCTCTAAGTACACATGGGAAGAGATCCTCGCTAGGATCTGGATTCCAAATCCAAGTGGCTATAGTAGCGCTGATGAAGCCATGGTGAGGTCATTTGCAGTAATGGTGTTTAAATAGATGCCAAGCTATAGTTTACTGAATGTCTTTGTGAAAAGTCATCCTTTTAGACCAAAAATGCTCAAATTTACACTCAATTCCAGTGTGAGCTTCTTATCATCATTGTTGGTGCTGCCTTTGTTTTCATTAAATCAACTGAATGTTTTCAGGATCTCCACTTGGAAATATTAAATGATAAAATTAAAAATTAGTCCTTGTGTGTAACTCACTGGTTTCAAAAAATGATGAATTTACAGAATGAAATGAACTTGTAAAAACACTTGTGTCATGACCATTGCAGATCCTGGCTCTTCACAGTTTATTTAGAAATAAGAGGAAGAATGTACAACATGATTTGCATCTTTACCTTCAGCCTCAGAGACAAGAGCATCTGAATGGGGCTCTTTTTCCTTTGTTATATGTATCAAATATAAATGTATGTGTGTGGTACATGATGTATGTGACATGAGACGTGCTGTACGTTGAAGGTCCACTTACTCTGCAGAGACTGAGTGACATCCCTAGCGCTTTTTATTTTTTATTTTGGGGCAGGACCTCACTAAGTTGCTGAGCCTGGCTTTGAACTTGAGATCCTCCTGCCTCAGCCTCCTGGGAGCCACTGGGATTACAGGCATGCACCATCATGCCTGGCCCAATGCACTTTTACCAGCAATGGAAGTATGGTCCACTGAAAAGAAGTGGGACTACACACACGTTGGTGCAGAATTTATAGAGGGCCTTCTGGAAATGTATTATAAAATGGTATTATAAAATGATCTAGCATGCCTAAAAATTTTTATCATTGTGTTTTCAAGAGTTGGCTATTTTGCATTGTATCAATATTTAATTTCTTTTTATTTCCAAATAATATTCCTTTGCATGAATATAGCACATTTTATTTCCCCATTCATCAACTTATGGACATTTGGTTGTTTCCCGTTTGTTAATATTATTAATAATCATTATGAACATTTTTATGCAAGCTTTTTGGGTGAATATGTATTTTCACTGTCTTGGTTGTTTACTTGGGATTAGAATTCCCAGGTCATACAGTAACCCTACATTTAACTTTGAAGAGATCTCAAGCTGTTTTCCAAAGTATCTCCCCATTTTGTATTCCCACAATAATGGAGGAGGGTTCCAGTTCTCTATACCCTCACCAACATTTGTTATTCTCTTTTTTATTTTAGTCCTTTTAGTGGATATGAAGCAACTCATTGTGGTTTTGATCTGTATAATATTGAAGATCTTTTCATGGGCTTAACAGCTAATTACAACTTATTTTTAAAGACTATTTATATGAGTAAATACATTTGGGAAGTGATATACCAAGATATTGATGGTGCTTCTATCTAGGGGTTGGTACTTCTTATTTTCTACTATGTTTCTGTATTAGTCAGGATTCTACTAGAGGAACAGGTCCAGATGGTTGGCTGGATGGATGGATGGTTGGTTAGATGAATAGCTGGATGGATGAATGGATGGCCGGTTGGATGGTTGAATGGATGGATGAATAAATGTACTGCAAGGAAAATGCTTATGCAATCACAGAGCTGCCAGACAAATCCAAAATCCACAGGACAGGGCAAGTGGTCATAAAATGTGGTCTGGAGCTGAAGGCACAGTCCACAGCAGAATTTCTTCTTCCTGAGGGAGACCCCTAGTCTGCTCTTGAAGCCTTTCAACTGAGTGTATGAGACCCACCTAGGATAATGTTTTACTTAAAGTCAATTGATTGGTAGATATAAATCACATCTACAAAACACTTTACAGAAAAACCTAGAATTAATGTTTGACTGACTACTGTAGCCTAGCCTAGTTGACACATAAAACTGACTGTAATTTCCTTCACTGTTATTTAAGTCTTTTAAAAAGAAGTCTGACTTACATTTTAATCAGCAAAAACAATGTATATTTCATTTTTTAAAAAATATTCCTTTTTATGTAGTAGTATCTCTACTTTCACACTTGATTATGAATTTGTCTGTCTTAATAAAAAGTTCAGTACAGCAACTTGTATCTGACAGATCCCTTCTAACATAAATTAATAAAACTGTATGCATTTTTCTATTGCTGTTTTAACAAATTAACCCAAGTTTAGTGGCTTAGAGCCATACAAATGTTATCAGAATGGGAAAGATGGTGGAATGAGATGGACATCATTACCCTAGGTACATGTATGATTGCACAAGTAGTGCGTCTCTATGCCATGTACAACTAGAGAATTGAAATGTTGCACTCCATTTGTGTACAATGAATTGAAATGCATTCTGTTGTCATGTACAACTAAGTAGAACAAATAAAAATTTTTAAAAAATACAAATGTATTCTCTTAGAGCTCTGGAAGTCAGAAGCCCAAAGTTAGTCACGCTGGGCAAAGTCGAGGTGCTGGCAGGGCTAGTCACTGTCACTTGAAGGAGAAAGTCCTTTCCCTTTGCAGCATCTATAGCAGTGGTCCTCAGAGCCTGTGGCTAGTGTCCCTTTCTCCTTCTTCACCTCCAGCACTTTAGCATCTTCAAGCTGTCCCTGCTCTCATCCTCGCATCAGCTTTGCCTCCTGCAGTCAAATCTCCTGCTGCCTCTCTTCTAGGGACACTGTGACTACACATAGGGCCCCCTTGGTCCTTTAGGACAATCTTGCCATTCAGTTAATCACATCAACTGGTAGCCCTGCCATGTAACATAACATCTACAGGTTTCAGCCTACCATGGATACTGGTTGGATAAATACTCACACAGCAGACCCACAACACTTTTCATTTTCCAAGAAATCTGGACTCCCATTGAGTATTCCCTCTTCACAGGCTGATGCCCAAATAACTCACTCTGAGGAGAACTGCAGGCCCCAGATCGATGCCACACCACCCAAGGACACTGTGGACAAGGTAGAAGGCCTGGAACAACAAGCTCAGATAAGAAGCTTACCCGGAACTATTCCAGAAAGTTCTCCATCTCCTAGTGACAGAAATAGAAAAGTAAATTCAGGTAAGCCACCACTCCTTGGGTTTTGTGGGTTCATGTTGATCTCTACAAAAATACTGATTCTCTAAATACAATGTATATTCAGTGGCCTTTTATCTCTGCTTTGTGGATCATGAAGTATTTTCAGTGACAAAACTTAAAAGTTAACCTTAGGTCTTCATTATGTCAGTAAATAATGCCAAATATTCATCTTATTGTCCGTGAGATAATTAAAGTCATCTCTCTCTTTTTTTAACATTCTCGGCCTTTATTGAGAATTGGAAACAGAATTTAAGAATACAAGTTGCTCAATTTAAAAGCATTTAAACATCCATTAGGTTAACCTCTTTCTAAGGGAAAGGTCTACATTTGCAAAAAAATAAATAAAACCTTCATCCAACTGCTTTCCCTGTGTCTCCCCATCCAAAGTTATCAGCAAATGTGCAATAAAAGGATCTTTCAAGTAGTCATGAGCTAGTGTGCTATTTGCGAACTATTTGCAGATTTTCCGTTTCCTTGAGTTGCTCCCTGGTGTAGATTTATGATGTCTTATTTATATTTGATCAGCATTCAAAATAAATTGAACCTCACAGACTTCAAGGGGAAGTGCTCTATTTGGGGGGGGGGGGGAGCTTTCATTTCATTCCTAGTTAAAAATGCTCTGTAGCTTCTTCGCTAGTTACCAGTTAGAGCTAGGAAGTACATGGGTTCATGCATGAAGTTACTCTTCTTGGACTTTGCTGGCACACTCAGATTATTACAGATTTTATATTGGCCACCCTCTTGTGGTTCTGATGTGATGTCCACATGACCTCTGAGAAGGAAGCAGGATGTCCCCCTCCTCTCTGACTGCAGGGCCAGCACAGATACTTTCTCTCTGTGACAATGCAGTTGTGACTTAGTTCCTGGCTGCAAATACCTGCTCAAGACCTGTGTGGCTAGCAGACTTCAGGCTGTCAGGTGGCTGGGACAGGTGTGCTGGGACAGCTGATCCTGCAGCTGCACGCTGTTAAAGGCACTGTGAGGAGTGCAGCTGGGAAGCAGGATGGTGTGGAGGGAGAACAGCTTGAGAAGTCAGCTCAAAGCAGATGTTTCTAAAATACAGTGTAAATGAGTTTCAAGAAGGCATCTTTTCACAGAATGTCTTGGACTTTACATTTGTTCTCTGCCCACTTTTCCTCTCTGCCAGTTCTTGGCTCTCTCCCTTCTTCCTCCTGGTCTTCACATCTACAGAGTTTCAATCTTCACACTAACGTTTTCCAACTATGCCTCCCTGATTTACCATGGGGTTAGGGCCTGAGAAACCTACCACCAGTGGAAAAAGGACGAGAATGTTAGAAGTCAAAAATGGTCTGACTGCACTGACCTGCTGAACGCCTGGGCTCAGCCACAGCATGCTGTAGTGCTGGTGTCACCAGCAATCAGTGTTTGGCTGCAAGTCACAGTCGCTGCTGCTACCCAGCATCCAAAAGGGGGTTGAAACACCTATTGCTAGTCCGGGAAAAGATCCAAATCAGAAATTCAAATACAGTTTCTACAACATGCATAAGGTTTTTGTACCATCATAGAATCAAAAAAGTCATAAGTTGAACCATCATTAAGTCTGAGACTGTATTTCCTTTGGAAAAAAAACTTCTAATTTTGAATAATGTCAGATTTAAGAAAAAAAAAAGTCTTTATATTCTTTTATCCAGATTCCTCAGTGTTACCACATGGCCACATTTGCATGATCATGTCCCCCATATACAAGTGTGTTTTTTTTCCTGACTTGATGTTACCTTACTTGGAAATGCACCAGTATGTGTTTCCCTAAAAGCAAGGACATTTTGTGCATAATCTCTGTACAAGGATCAAAATCAGGAAATTATTAGCGCTTCAGTACCATTATCTCATGTATGGGCCATATTCAAATTTTGTCAATTGTCTCACAAATGTCCTTCATAAATTTCTGATTTGGGTTCTAACCCTGGGTCACATGTTTGTCACATGGCTTTATTCTCCTTTACCCTGAACCCCTCGGCTTTTCTTTACTTTTAGACCTTGATGTATTGGAAGATAGAGGCTGTGTAGAATGTTCCTTAATTTGAGTTTGTCTGAGATTTCATCACGGTTGTGTCCAGGTTATGCATTTGGGGCAAGAACATCAGAAATAATATCCAATTTTACTTATTTATTTATTTATTTATTTGTACAGCAGATTAGGAGGCACATGGTACCTACATTTGACTCTTATTGTGTTTGGTACTTGGACTTGCAAAAGTTTGTGGGTTTTTTTAATGTAGTAAAACTTATCAGTCTTTTCCTGAATTTGGATTTTGAGAAAATTTAAAAGCCTTTCCCTGTACCTGGTTTAAGATGATGTCACCCATGTTTTCTTGTGTGATTCCAATTTTCACACTTAAGCCTATAAAGAGTTTCTAATGACATGAGAAAATGCTAATGTAAATATTAGTTTAATGAGAAACAAAGCTGTATGTCCAATGTGGTGCCAAATTTATAAAAATAAAATTTTATATATTGACAATAGTTCTCTCTGAATGGTGAGAATACAGGCGCTTTTATCTTCTATTCTTTTTTTATATTTTCTAAATTCATTGTGGGAACCATGTATTACTTTTACAATAAAAATAGAATGACAATGTTATTTTTCAACATTCCCCAATCTTCTCCAGTGTCCCAAGAAAAGAAGACAATTAGTTGAAGTAACTGACATATTCTAGGAATCTCTGTGTAGGTTAGTTACTGCAAAGGTCAAGCTGAATACTTGAGTGAACTCAAAAAAGAATGGGTTCAAATGGTTACAATACTTTTTATTATGTTAGTAATCTTTCAATCATGATATCCCTTTTAGAAATACCACAGGAGAGAGGAAGCCTTTCTCTCCCATGCATGATATTTACATGACACATTTGGGAGACATTTACATGACATGACATTGACCGGTCTGGGAGAGACAGTTAGGTAGTGAAGACATGGGTGTTGATGTCAAACAGACTTGGATTCAGTGCTAGTTAACATTCTTGCTACCCATATCCCTTTATGCAAGTTAGTTAGCCTTCATCATATTAGTGTGTTTACTTACAAAATAGAGATAATAATATCCCTTCACAGGGATATTATTTATTTATGTTTGAATTAGATGTGGGACAGTATACAAAGTACTTCGTATACTGCAGGTACATAAGTGCTCAAAAAATAGTAGCTACTATTATTTTGACCCTTCCAGATGACCTTGGATTCACCTTTGACCTATTTTTTTTTTTGCATTTTTGTTTGTTAATTCAAATTTTTAGTTCACCTACCTACATGGCGTGTTTTACTACTCTGTACGCAAGTCTGGATAGAGCACTTTCAAATGAGAATTGGTTCTATTTTGAGCACCTGCACGGGCAGCTGAAGCAGCAGTGGAAAGGTGCCAAGGTGGTTGGGAATGTGTTGGAGCTGCTTGCAGCAGTCAGGTTGAGAAATCTCATAGAGAAGGCAGGTTAATATTTCAAAGTGAAAGAAATCTGATTAGTGTGTCTGCACCAGGGGGTGTTTTCTCCCTTTCCAGCAAACTAGTGAAAGTTGTCTTCATAACCAGGTTAGAAATTTTAATACAAAGACTCCATCCATTAAAGGGGATGGACCTGGTTACAGTTGGGACTTCCCAATGACTGCAGACCAGAGGAGAGCTGATCCCCAAGGACTCCACACTGCTGGACTTCTGACAAGAAAACAAACCTGTCTCTGGACCTTTATTTTGTAATGTGATAATATATACTTGTTTATTTATATAATTGGTGATTTTTAATGAGGAGGCTTCTTTCAAGAGAATAGTTCAATAAGGTCCCCCTAGAAATGATTTCAAGGCTCATTTTTAGAATCACTAATAAAAATTTAGCTGACAAATTTTTAACTCCCGTTCTGATTTGGATCAAAGACTCTTTTCAAAAAGGCATGCTTTTACTTCTGCAGATTTAGCAGATGGTGTAACTGTACACTCAGGGTTGCAGAACTAGACGTCTCTTGGCAACATCATGCTGTTTATCTTTTGTATACAAAGCATAGAAACCAAACTGCAACTCATCCGAGTCACCAGGAGAATGAGCCTTAGCTGTAGTTTAGCTTCATAATTAGTGGAGAAACCCATGTCATCTGACCCAAGTGTATAAATGTTGTTACAACAAAAAGTAATACATAGCAGCACATGAAAGACTTTTTGTTATGCTTAACATGAGCCCTGCTAGGAATATAATATGTCCATGTTTCCTTGGAGAGAACATTAAGAATTTGAACTGCAAAGGAGTCTACTTTTTAAAAAAGAAACAGATTCTTAGGACAGAGTGTTGAGACTAAGATTTCAATACGTAGCATGATTCATAAGACATAATATGATTACCATCTGACTGATAAAAATCCTCATTCCCTTTTCTTTCTCTTTTACTTTGGAAGACCCGGTGACCAATGGATTTATCAATAAGCCCCAACCCCTGGAGAATCGAGAGCGACAAAAGTCATCAGACATCCTGGAGGAACTGATTGTTCAAGGAATAATACAAAGCAGCAGCAGAATATTTAGAAACGGAGAATCATATGATGTTATGGCAAGTAATTCTATAATTAATGTCACCTCAGAGATGATGGAGCACAGGTCATTATTTCCACATATGTGACTGCCGGTGACAGCATTTATCTAAGCCAGTTTTTACCTTCCATCAATTCCCTCATGCCCTTGCACATCATCCTTTGTGGATTCAGGAATTGCTCTAATTGCTATTGAGTAATGAATCTGATAAAACATTTCTTGGGTTATATTAAATTTGAGGTACAATAAGCCCCACTGAATAACATGCCTTTGTCCTTTCAGCAATTTTTATTAAGCATTAACTTTTGGATAAGAAAACTGAATTTGATTTACCTATTAAGAAAATAGGCCTAAATGCCAAGGCTATGACACATATGTTTATGTGTGTGTACATACACACATCCTAGAATCAAACATGGGGAAATACAGTTGTAAAAATTACTAAACTGCTATTTTTCTTTGTTGATTCATCTTGATCAATCTGGCAGTTTTTCCTTAGTGTAAAATTGTACTCTTTTTAAAATTTTTAACTTGCTTGACCCAAGTCTAGAACTCTAAATTTTTAAATTAGTTCTCTATAAAAGAGGATAGTGTTTGTTGTTTTGTTTTGTTTGCTTGTTTTTAAGCCAATGCTCCAGGTATCTAGGAACTGAGTACCAGAGAAGGTAAAAGAAGAAATCACAATTAAAGGAAGACTGAGGAAAAAATGAATAGAAGAGAAAACAAATAGCAATGATGGAAATAGAGATCAGAAATGACATCAAAGTTTCCATAATTGTTACCTATCCCTGTGTTGTAGGGAAAACAGTCAACTGGGAATAAAAGACTCATTATTTAAATGAAGTCTGCTCCTAGACCAAGTCACTTAGTGCCTAAGTTAATTTTCTTCCCTGTGTGTAGGGAATGTTGAGAACTTATAATTGAAGCCAAGTTGGCATTTTCTTTTGAAAAGGGAAATTCCTGCAGAAAGTATGTGGGGAGAGGAAAGATTGCCAACACTTAATATTCTTAGACTACCAACATGAGGATGTAAAAGGGCAAAGTACAAATGAGTCATATAATGAAAGGCTAATGCCATCATGATGACAATTTGCATTTGCACACTGCTAACATGACCCAAGGCATCCTGGATTACCTGATCCTACTAGAAAGTACTAGAAGAACAGATCTTTAACATGGAGGGGGAGGGAATTTTTTCTAGGTATAGTTGAGTCTCTGGGGGACAGAAAAAAAGTTGTGTTAAAAGACAGGAGAGCATATCAAGTGGAGGAGGACAGATAATGGAAACATCCAGTAGCTAAGCAATGACTACTACTGGGAAAAGCTGGAGATACCTTGGTGCTGACACCAAGGGGATTACATTCAAACATCTCAGTGATAATGTGCTTGAGATGAATGCATTCTAACATACATCTTGCATAGGATGCCAAGGTTAATTAGCATAAGTTACATTGTGAAAGAAATATATTAATGACAACTATGGGCTTGACTTTCAATAACCCTATTAAGTGAACTAAAAGTTAAGACCTTTTACATATTATATAGAAATCTTTGAATGGCTATTAGGAGCATGGTTAGGGCATTCTCAAAAGCATTTAAATATAAGGTTGTAAGAATGCCACAATTCCCACCCAGTCTGGCCCTTGGTATTGGGCCAAGATGTTCCAACATAAGCCAAGTTTGCAACAGGCCAGAGTGGCAACATATAGCTCTTTGTTTTATTGCCTAATGTTGTGGTCCTTAACCTGACTATACCTTGGAGTAACTTAGGGATTTTTCAAAATTCCCAGTGCCCATGTTCCACCCTGGGCTAATACCTGGGTGTGGAATCCAGCTTCCATGTTTTGGAAAGCTACCAGAATCATCTGTCAACAGCCTAGGCTGAGAACCAGATACCCTGAACTTCCTCAAACCTATATACAAAGCTTTCAAGTTCACTATCAAGATGGGAAGGATTAAAGCTATTGAAATCATAGTGTATTCCTCATTCATCATGAGAGACAATTCTAAAATATTCCTGAAAATGTAACATTTCAAGAATAGCAACTACAATTATACTCAAGAAGCCCAGGGAAGTAAAAAAGAGCTACAGTAGCTCAGTGTCACCAATAGAGCTTCCTTCAATTCAGGTGTGCTTCAGTTCATAATTGGGCCAGACACCAGGTGCCTTAAATGTTTTGGCAAAAGTTATACATATATAATAAAAAGATAAGAATCAACACTGAAGGACAGAGTGGGGATCATATAAAGTATAGAAGTAATTGAAGGCTAATATTTTGAAATATATAATACTTATAAAAAAGAAAAACCCTGATAAATTTGACTAAAAATCAAACCAAGGAGTCAAGGTAAATAAAAAGAAGATGATTGATAAAAGGATACCAGTGTTAGCAGTTATCACAATGTGATGAATCCAATCAGATGCGTAAACATTATTTCTTCATTTTCCTAGGGGAAAAATGATTTAAAATAAAATGTTATGGGAAAATAGAATAAATGTGAGAATACTTTAAAAATACGACTTCTTACATGGACTAATAGCTTATTAAATACAAGAGAATTCTGGACTAGATATGCCCAATTCCTAGTCAGGATATCATCTTCCACTGAGTTTTTAGTTAGAGTGATAAAAGTGAGGGTCTTCTATTCCTCTTCTGAATCAGGGCCATCCCATCTTCCTAAGGGTCCAAAGTAGTATCTGAGTCTGCTGCAAGGTCTCCTTTCATCTTTTTTCTGTTTTCATCATTCACTTGCCAGTGAGTACTACAATTCCATAGTACTCTCCACATAACCAGTTTTCAAGCATGTTCATATTAATAGATTTTATGCTGATTTAAGAGTTAAAATGATATGTAAGAAATATAACATTAATAAGATAAATATTAGATCATTAAGTGAGCCTTTTAGTGTATTTTAAACCATTTTACTGAGTCTTAACATGACTATATGGTAAAGAGTACTGGATTTATGTGCACTTGTCAATATGTGTATGGGTTAGTACAGACCTCTTTAGAAATATGTCACCCACATAAATATTATTGTTTAGGTATCTTATTGTAAATTCATATCTCTCTCCCTCCCCCCCCCTCTCTCTCATACCTATTTGCAAGCCCTGAGTATTTTTATAGGAGGCTCAGTGAATTTTCTATGAATTTCGCCTTGTCTGATCAAAGTTTATTCTCTTCTCTGTGCAACTTCTGTAACCTTTAGTGTGGTTAGGGAGTTTGTTCACATTGCATCAGAGTCTCTAACATTATTTGTTGACCTTCATGGAGAGTTTTTTGAGGAGAAAGTCAACTGAGTTAGGACTAAATAATGCTAGTAAATGATCAGTGTGATCTTCCTAAGGAGGTCTAAAGATGAAAGAACATGAATGAGCAGGTCTTCTGCAGGAAGCTTTGGCCTATTCTGTGTACAAGATACCTTTAGGGAACAAACCCAAGATAAGTTCATCCATAGGTCAATAATTAATTAGGAAAGTTCTGAGGGATACATAGTGAATGTAAGACATAATATATACAAGCTCAGTTGGCTAGAAACAAGGCTCAAATATTATTACAGCATCTTTGGGACTGGCAGTCCTCTGATAGTATTCTTAAGGAAAATAATTGAACTGGTAACTTCTCTAAGCTTAAGATGGTGGTCTTTAAGTTTCTACTAACAACATGTCTATGCATAACAATTGTTGTTATCATTTTAAAGTGCCAACCAACATTTGATGAATTCTGATTTCACAAAATTCAGTTTTAAAAAATATAACTGTACAGGGTTTTTTCAATGTTTCTATGTAACTGTCAAACTCAAGAAAGACTGCACAGATAGGATTAACTTCTCAAGAGGAGGAAGAAAATGATTTCATAGGCATCAATTTGAAATAAAGCCACAGGAAGAGCCTTTTCAAACCAGAAAATCCCAACTTCTCTCAGTATGACTGACTGATCTCACAGTGTTAGTCAAGGTTCAGATTGCTATGTAAAATCTAACTCTGCATTTCTTTATTGGATCTTGGATTACTATATAATTTTCTTTTAGCCTCTGTTGAGTGAGCAGCTCTAAGAAAGGTTTTCAAACTCATTTCATAGTATCTCTGGCTGAGCAACCACAGCAAGTGTGTCCCTCTTTCCAGCAAATGGCTTTTGCCAGCAGGAAGCTTAAGAGTCAAGTGTCATTAAACACACACACACACACACACACACACACACGAGAAGGAGGAATATTCTTTACTGAACAAATCGGTTTTCTTCCAGTGAACAACTCTGCACCACAGATAACTCTGATGGCTGAAACGGAGCCAACCTTACAATAATGTTTTCAAAAAGCTCTGAGCATCCTAGATTTTGAAGCTGGAAGGAAAGTTAGCCGTCCTCCATCCTCTCACTATCTTACCTGGAAGTTCAGAGTCCAAAGTCCAAAGGTGCTGGCCTCAGGTCAGGCATTGAATTAGTGGTAGAGTTGCCGCTCTACTTCCGGTTCCGGGTTCTGGGTTCCATTGTACTTCCGGTTCCGGGTTCTGTTCTTGTGGTGGTTTCCAATTCCGGGTTTCCATTCCAGTTCCAGCACCTTTCTGGTCTCCTTACCCACCTTCGGGTAGTTCGTTTGCCGTGTTGACAAGTTGGCGTTATACCCTTCTACTCCCTCTAAAACATTTCCCAGGAAGTTAAATCCTGTGCAAATGAGGAAGCCAGGTTGAACAAGTCACTCCATAGCCAAGTCGGGATTCAAACCCAGGTGTGTGTAAGTCCCAAGCCCATGACTTTTCCTATTAAGCTAAATTGCTTCTCTTTGCCGCTTGATTTATTTTCTCAGTATCTACAGCCTGGTAGTCTAAAGAGAGAGAGTCATTTGGAAATTATAATGAATATTAATAGCTCTTTTCTCTTTGAAAGAAGTCTTTAGAGAGAGTATCTAGAACAGGACTCAGTTCATTTTATAATGAAGACATGGAGTTCGTTAAAATCTTCCCCTAGTCATAATCAATCTATATATACTGACCCAGAAAGATGTCCATATTAAATTAAGTGAAAGTAAATTGCAGGACAATGTGTTTGGATATAATCGCATTTAGGTTTTATTTAACATTGCAGATGTTCTGCACATATGTGCGCATATAAATATACGTGTGCATATAAGTGTATGTGTGTTGCTGGCTTAGTAGGTTCCTGTGCTCTCTACCAGAAGAATGAGGCAGACACATCCTTATAACAGGAATAGGCTCTTTATTGGGGACTTCTGCTGTGGCCAGAGGGAGCACTCTCCAAGAGTGTCAGGCTGACTCGAACAAATGATAAAGGTGTGCAGTTTCATGGCATCTAGAGTAGGCAGAGGGACTACCTTGATTCCGTCCCTGGAGGAGGTGGGGTTTGAGCACTTCCTCCTTGTGCTTCTTTACGCATTGTATGTCTCATTAACATCCTATGTGTCCATCTAGTGGTGTGTGTTTAACTATGCTAATAAGGTAAAGGTGCCTATGGGTTACTTCAGTGACTATTCTATGCATAGATTTGTCTCTCACCATTTGGAATTTACTCCTTATGTCTGAGAAAGTCTCTGATGTTATTTTCAGAATGGGGCAGACTGTTGTTCTGTCTCAGTGGCCTTGTCTTTGGGACTTGTCTAATTCCAGTCCTTGACATTTCTGCCAACCACATAATCTCAAAAGGCTGAGGCGACTTCTCAGCTTTCCATCTCCTAACAAGTTATTTTACTCCTATAGCCTTGAAGACTGGTTCGCTTTTTAACTCCTGTACAGCTTAACCCCATAATACTGAGAGCTAACTTGGCTGAATTATTTTCCCCTGAGAGGTTTTATCCCTTAATCATAAGGGGTGCTTTTTCTCAAGGAGATCCCTGATGTCTCATGTGTGTAGAAAACATCTGGAAAGACACACTTTTTTTAAAAAAATCATGTTTACAAGTGGGATTGGGGGCCAAATGATGAAACAGACGATTAGGGGGTTAATTATGTATTTTTTTAATTTTTCATAATAAATGTATATTACAAAAACGTTTTTAAAAGAAAATTTAATTTTTAAAAAGAAAAACACTGTCAATTAAAACTTTCCTGGGGCTGGGATTGTGGCTAGTGGTAGAGTACTCGCCTAGCATGCATGAGGCACTGGGTTCGATCCTCAGAACCACATAAATGTAAAATAAAGATTTTGTGTCCACTTAAACCTAAAAAAAATAAATACTATTTTTAAAAATAAATTTAAAAAAATAAATATTTTTTTAAAAAACAAATAACTAAACATGTCTTTTTAAAAAAAGAAGAAAAAAACTTTCTTCATAAGCCCTTCATAATAATTTTACATTTTTATTACTACTAATTATAATTAGAAATTCATTATTCTTTGAACTGTTGAAAAGGTTGTTAGTCACATGAAGTGGCATTTTAGTTTCTGCTCTCATGATAATATTTTGTAAAATACCAATAGCAAAGCCCAGCACAAAGTTATTTCTCAATAGCAATTAATTCTCTCTCTGCCACAAGATCAAAAGTGGTAAGATCTAATCGCTATTCAAGTGAAAGTAACTTGCAACTTGTGGAATGTATAAAAATGAATTGAAATCATTGAATATTATAAATCAAGGTAAAAATTTGACCTTTTACTTTGAATTACAAATTCATAACTGATTCTCTACCTTCCATCTTGTGTTCATTCTCAAGATTTTTTCCTCCTGAGTCCTCTTTTATCCAGTTTCAGAACTTGTTGCTTACTTAGCTCCTTTTTCTTAATAGCTTGTTTTTAGGGCATCTAACACATTTTATCTTTAGTAATTAATTCTTTTGTTACCAGCTTTTAAGTTGTTATTGTTGTTTTAATCTGCTACTAGAAAGTTTAGGTCTTTAGTATTTACCTTCTAAATTGTGTTTACCTCTCCTGCCTTTCTCCTCTGCCATTGAATATGCTTGTTTCTCAATTTTCTAAAAATGTCTTCTTCCAGATGAACACAACCGAAAAGCCACTGAGAAAGCCACCAGCCAGACTGAAAAAACTTAAGATCAAAAAGGAAGTAAGAGATTTCACAATGAAGGACATAGAAGAGAAGATGCAGGCAGCAGAGGAGCGTCGGAAGGTAAGTGAGCTCTGAGGCTCAGAGTCTGAGGCATTCAACACTTGCTAAAATGAGTTCACTTCAGACCTTTTCCTATCAGTAGCTTTAAGACAAATTGCATGGATTTGTACTTAGTATCTCAGTGATCTGCATGCTTCTTATGCTAAATGGTTAGTGTTTGCTTTCTCAAAATTATCTTTGTGCTGTAACAGAAGACATATCTTAAAGTTGGCCGAAAATTTCAATTTCATCCATACAGCCTAAGATAGCAATACTTAAATTCTCAGAATTGAATCAAGTATGAGGTTTCCTTCACGTGAAAAAAGAAAGACTTTACTTGGGGGTGGGGTAGGAGGAGAATCAGGGCAGGATGTGTGTAGCAGAGAGGAGGCCCTGAGGACCACAGACAAGAATTCCTGCAGCTTTGGCACCTGGGACCTCAGAACACTCTACCAGCTGCTCTGCTGGGAGACAGGCCTCCTGGTGTTAGTCCAAGCTGACATTGCCCTCTCTACTTGGCCTCCTAGGAGCAAGGACTGGCTATGTACTTCATGGGGTAGACCCTGTGTCTGCCCCCTTCAATAGAACTTCCTCAACAAATATGGTTATATGACTGTTAATGGCATAGAAAAGCCAGAAATTTTCATGATGGGCAATAATAATGAGAACTTATAGAAGGTGATTTGGACTCCTTTTAATTTTTTTTTAATATTGCTTTTCAGATTAAAGAAGAAGAAATAAGAAGGCGGCTACGAAGTGACCGCCTTTTGCCCACAGCCAATCATTCAAATTTGGCTGAAATGGGTGGAGCTGAGGTTCCACTTGAGAAAGGACTTCAAACCATTAGTGCTGCTACATTTGAGCCACCTGTCCTGCAGGGAGGAGAGCCACAGAAGAGTAAGAGTAACAATGACTTAGTCCCGATGGATGGAAACTACTACTATGAAAGTTTGGGGGTTGTAGAGTCAGACATGTCCTACAACCAAAAGGATGATATATTTGAATAAGCCATTTTGTGTGTGTGTAAACACCATAAAAAGGAATCTATTTTCCCTATAAGACAGTCTTAGTATGTCTCATATTCTTTGATCATGTGACCTCACCCTGTGGAATTTCTGGTGCAGCTTTTGCAATAATGGTGTGGGGCTGCATGCACTGAATATTAGTTGAGTTAATTAAATTACTGTGGATGCACGCATGTGCACGCACACACACAGGAGAAAGATCGATAGATCTGACCAGCTTAGATTACTATGAGGTTGGTATTCTCCCTCAATATGTCTTTAAATGTTGTTTAGATGTCTTTAATTTATGAATCTCTTGCAGCTTTATATATTGTGAATATATCTGTGCCAAATGAAACCCTTACTTTTTAGCTCCTGACCTTGGGCTGTGTCCACTGATGTCCTTTACAACAAAATTGAATGCATTTATAAAGTATTTTAACAATCCGTGTGTTTTTTTAGGTATGTGTTTAGGTTTTTTAAAATTGTGCTGTCAAGTAATAAAGCACTACCTTAAAGCTGAATTACAGTTTCATCTGTATTTATAACTAGGTAAACAATATCCATTTCTTAGAATTATGTAAAGCATGGAGTTTTCTTCATATTGAAAACACCACTTCCCCTAGGGCAATAGGAGGGTAAGTGAGGAGCCCAAGGTCTGTGCTCCAAGCTGTGCTCATCTCATTGGAATCATGCCTTGGTTCTCCCTTCCCTTGCCTCTGCATCTAAGAGTGATCAGATGGGAAGATCTCTTGCATCCATTTCCATACTTTTCTGGTTTAGACCACTCCACCCCTCATGATTCAACTGGGTTACTACAACAAATCTCTCCATTTTCATACAACCATGGTCTGTCCAAGACCCCCCTGTTGACCATCTTTTATTATCAAGATAAAAATCCAGACTGCTTTTTGTTGATAAAGATCTCAGATTTGAAGGATTGCAAACTGAACAAATTCTAGTTCCTCAAACTCAGCACATTCTCCCTGACTTCTGGATTTTTGCATATGCTGTTCACTCATTCCTCTTTCCCCTCTTGCGATTTGATGGATGCCTTCTTGTTTTCATGTATCAATTCAGATACACCTTCTCCAACACCCTGGTCCAGGTCACCTGTGGTAGATGGGCTACTCATTTTTGCACTTATCACCCTGTGAAGAAGCTGCCTGATACATTTCCATGTAATCATTAGGCATTTTCAATCCCCACAAAACAATGAACAGATCACAACCATGATCTGTTGTTATCAAGGCTGCATTTTTTTGTACCTCAGTAAGTGGAGGGTACAGAATAAGTGCTGTGTAAATATTGCTTTGGCAAATGGATCAAATATGCCCCTAAATCCTCCACAAGCAGAAGTGGGGCCCCATGAGGTGGTCTGTCTTGGGATCTGTAGATGAATCTATAGAGAAAGCTACAGAAGAACCTACAGATGAAATCTATCCCAGTGCTTTCGGCTTAGTATAGGGAATGGAATGCCATGTCTTCCCCTAAATGAGGGGAGTAGATCTCCATACCCTCCAACAAAAAGGGGGTAGTTCCCCTTGAAATGAGTAGGTCCCCATGTGCATCACAACTTGTTAGGCACAGATCCCAAAGACCTCCACCTGGTAAGGGGTGATGTAGAACTGTGTATATGCCACCTCATCAGAGGACTTTATTTACAGTCTTTCTGAGGATTTCCCATTCTGGATTATTCCAGTTCCACCCTCAAAGTACGAATAGGAAAAGACATTAATATGTATGTGAATATGTATACGAATGTATATATGAATATGAACATGTATATGTTAATATGTATATAAATAGAAATATGAAAATGTATATAAATATATATGTGAATATGAATAGATATCAATGTGAATATAAACAAATATGGATATGTATATATGAATATGAATATGTGTATATAAATAAGTATATAAATATGAGTATACATGAATATGTGTTGATATGAATATGTACATGCATATGAATATGAATTTGTGAATATTTCATTAATATGAATATGTACATGAATGTGAATGTTAATGGATACACATATGTTAATGAATATGATTAGTATAAGAACATGAACAAGTGCATTACATGAATATGATTATTTGTATGAATATGAATACATACATGAATGTGTATATAAATATGAATATGTGTATTAATATGTATATGAATATGTGTATGAATATATAGTGATGTATCTATGATTTAGATACCAGTGCCTTAACTCTCATGGGGAATTGATCACCCTGCCCTCCACTACAGGAGGTGAGTAGCTCTCCATGACCTCAGCACAATGAGGGCTATTGGCCCTCATGGGGGAAGTAGGTCCAGGCATCCTGTACCCAGTGAGGGGACTATATCCCCATGCCCTCCACCTGGTGAGTGGATTAAAGTCATCTATCCTCAACCTGACCAGTGTTAATCCCTATGCCCTCCATCTGATGAGATCCCACTCCAGAATATTCCAGTTCAAACCCTAAAAGGATGAGACTGGGGCAGATGCTGTAGATAGATCTATAGATGCCTCTAAACATATCCCAGTGCCTTCTGCTCCGTATGGAGAATGGAACACTGTGCACCCCTCTAGATGAAGGCAGTAGATCTCCACGCTCTCTGACAGTTGAGGGGAGTAGTTCCCCTTTGGGGAAATTAGGTCTCTGTGTCCTTTACACCTGGAGAGGTACAGACCCCCATGCCCTCCTCCTGGTGAGAGGTGTAGAACAATAATACTCTACCTGATCAGGGGAATTACTCTCTACAGTCCTTCTGATGATTTCCTATTCCAGTATTCAAGTTCTACATTCAAAGTATGCATTGGAGAAGACATTAAAATGTATAGAAATATGTATATGAAAACATGTATGAAGGTGTGTATGCATGCATGCATACATATAAGTATGTATATGAAAAGGATTTTTAATATGTATATGAATATTAACATTAATATGTGTATACATGAATATGTATATAAATATGAATATGCACAAGAATATGAATATATGTCTTATTATAACATGAATATGTACATGTACATGAATATGAACAGGTGTATGAATATGTATATGAATAAGTATATGAATGTTTATGTTCTATGAATATGTACATGAATATGAATATGTATGTGTATATAAATATGAATAGGAATATGGATATGAATATTTCATGAATATGAATCTGTAATGTAAATATACATGAATATGTACACACATGTGCATAAATATTAATATGAATATGTGTATGACTATGATTAAGTGTATGGATATGAATATGTACTTATACATGAATATGAATGTTTATGGATATAGTTATATGTATAAATATGAATATGTACACAAACATGATTCTGAATATGTATATGCATAGGATTACGTGTGTGAACATGACCATGTACATAAATATGAATTTGTGTGTAAATACATTCATGAATATGTATATGAATATGAACTTGAACATGTGCATGAACATATATTGTATACATGATATGTACATAATATATACATGAATATCAGTATGAAAACGATATGTACATGAATATATATTAATTGTATATGACTATTAGGGATATATATATCTATGAATTAGATCTCTGTGCATTACCTCATACAGGGAAGGATCACCATGCCCTCTGACAGATTAGGTGAGTAGATCTCCATATCCTCAGCACAGTGAGGGCTGTTGCTGCCCCTGGAAGGACAGTTCTGGTGTCCTGCACCCAATGAGGGGAGTACATCCCCGTGCCTTCCACCTGATAAGTTGCTTAGAATCATGTTATCTCGACCTGATCAGGGGAGTTAATCCGTGTATCCTCCATCCGATAAGATCCCACTCCAGAATGTTCCAGTTCAAACTCTAAAATCATGGAACTGGGACAGATGATATAGCTGAATCTATAACAGAATATATAAAGGAAATATATACCCGTGCCTTTCAGTAAGTATGGGGAATGGAACACCATGCCCTTCCCTAGATGGTGGAGATCTCCATCATCTGATAAGAGAGTAGAGTAGTTCCTCTCGAGGCTTAGGTCCCTGTGTCCTTCAGTCATCAAAAGGCACAGATCCCCCATGCCCTCCACCGTTAATACGTAGAACCACACATTACCCACCTGATCAGAGAATATTATTTCTGTATAGTCCTTTTGATGATTTCCCATTCCAGATTTTTCCAGTTTTACCCAAAAATTATGAATGGAGAAGGCATTAATACTTATATGAATATGTTTATGATTATGTGTATGAATAAATAGGCAAATATAAATATGTACATTAATATTAATATGAATGAGGATATGTACATGAGTATGTACTTGAATATATCTATAAACATGAATATGAATATATTTGTATATAAATATGAATATGTATATTTGTATATTAATATGAATATGAAATGTATATGAATATGATTGTCAACACATATATGAACACAAATGTGTCTGTTAATATGAATATGAATATGTACATGTATATGAATAGAATATGAATCTAGAGATGAATATGAATAAATACATACTATGTACAAGAATATGAATATTAGTATATGTACATATGCATATTATATATATGAATATGCATATAAATATGACTGCTTATGAATATTCATGTGAATTTGAACATGAATATGTATATGAACATAAATATGAATGTGTACATGTACATGAACATAAATATTAAAATTTATTTGAATATAAATATGTACTGGTACGTGAATATGTGTATGCATATGTATATGCTCTTGTATATGAATATGAATAGGTGAATGAATATGTACATGAACATGAATATAAATATGTACAAGTACAGATACCTGAATATGAATGTGTATGAATATTATAGTGGTTAGGGATTAAGAGATGTCAAGGATTAAGAGGATTATGGGTGTGTCTATGAGGGTGTGTCTAGAAGAAATGTGGGATAGCCAACTGAAATGGAGACCCTCCCAAAGTGTGGGCAGCATCGACCTATAAGATGATGGCTTAGATGGAATAAAAGTTTCAAGAACAA